GACATACTCATCTAATAAATTTTTTCTATCATTTTATTTTCTAGAAACTTCCGAGCTATTCCCTTATAATAACAGTATCACATGCATGTAAAAACCTTGGAGGATCCCACATAACACTAATGGGCCTTGGCTACTTTTTTTAAGCCCAATCTTTAGCTAGAAGAAAAGCGTAATGGGCTTAAGCTATGAAATGGAAACCTCGTATAATAAGGAGTTCACTTAAATTTTATTTTGTGTTAGACAATAAATCCAATAGTTTTGAACTATGTCAGATCAAGAAAACATTTGCACTGAAATATACATTATGATATAATTTTATATCAAGAATATATCTAAAATTATTAGATTTGCTTTAAGAATAGTGCAATACTAATCTCAAAGTAAATTCAATAATTTTGATTTAGAATAGTGCCAAATTCATGAGATTTCTGTAGCCGGTAGATTTTGGAAGTGCATGATTTGGATTTAAATTTGAAAGTTTTCAAACTACAAAACTGCTGTGGCTATAGCTTAATAGATGGAAATGGTGTGGTGTCTCGCAGTTTATTATGTTCCCTCATAAATATTTTAGTAAGCCACCATAGAATATTTTTCCATAAATTTATTGGACTTATCTACCGGAATTCCTGCCGCCACCGCCGGTGTTCCTGAGGACCACCGCCGGAGTTCACAGCGGGTTCCTGCCAGCCACCGCCGGAGTTCCTACCGACCACCACCGGAATTCCTGCCGACACCGCCGGTGTTCCTGCGGACCACCGCCGGAGTTCCTGCCGGCCACGCCGGAGTTCCTGCCGGCCACCACCAGAATTCCTGCCGACCACCGCCGGACTTCCTGCCGACCACCGCCGGACTTCTGCCAGTCTGTCGACCATCGCCGGACTTCTGCTCGTCCGCCGATCACCGCCAAAGTTCTTCCCAACCATTGAAGAATTTCTGCCAGTCCACCAATTGCCACCGGACTTCCACCAGAGTTCATCCCGATCGCCGCCAGACTTCCACCCATTCTCCGACCACCGACGGACTTCTGCCAGTTCGTCGACCGTAGACGGACTTCCTCCCAACTGTTGACCACAGACAGACTTCTGCCAGTCTGTCTACCTCCGCCAGACTTCCACCAGTTCGCCGACCACCGACGGACTTCTGCCAGTCAGTCGACCGCCACCCGACTTCCACCAGTTCACCGATCGCCGCCGGACTTCCACCCATCCTCCGATCGCCGCCGGACTTCTACCAGTTCACCGATTGCCGCCGGACTTCCGCCCGTTCACCGACCATCGTCGGATTTTCATAGTTTGTCGTTCGCCATCGGAATTCCGCCAGTCTACCGAACACCGCAGGACTTCAACCAGTCTGCCAACTACAGTCCTCCCAACCACTGTCATCCAACAACAGTTCTTCCGATCTCTGTCATTTGCCAACTATGGTCCTTCGGACCTCTATCATCTACCTACTACATTCCTCGCCGACTATGGTCCTCCCGACCTTCGTCGCCTGCTAACTATGGTCCTCTCGATCTTCATCGCCCGTCGACTACGGTTTTGCCGCCCCAAACAAACATATCAAGATTAATTCTTCCAACTTCCACCATGCAATGCATTTTATATGATGTATATTTGTTACTTCGAGCCAAGACCTTCCTCCTAAGGAAGGGCCTCATTTGTAATCAATTGCAAGCACTAGTGAATTCATTCAAACTGGGCCAGGCCCCAAGATTTTTTCCCCTTTTCAGGGGTTTCCACGTAAAAACTCTGGTGTCTCTTATGAACTTTACACCCTCTCCTTTTTATGCTTGTGTTCTGGATCTTCGTACAAAGCTAAGGCATTAATCTTTATATTTTTCTATCGCCGTGAATTTTCTAGGATGCAACAATTTTATTTTGTGTTAGACAATAAATCCAATAGTTTTGAACTATGTCAGATCAAGAAAACATTTCCACTGAAATATACATTATGATATAATTTTATATCAAGAATATATCTAAAATTATTAGATTTGCTTTAAGATTAGTGCAATACTAATCTCAAAGTAAATTCAATAATTTTGATTTAGAATAGTGCCAAATTCATGAGATTTCTGTAGCCGGTAGATTTTGGAAGTGCATGATTTGGATTTAAATTTGAAAGTTTTCAAACTACAAAACTGCTGTGGCTATAGCTTAATAGATGGAAATGGTGTGGTGTCTCGCAGTTTATTATGTTCCCTCATAAATATTTTAGTAAGCCACCATAGAATATTTTTCCATAAATTTATTGGACTTATCTGCTTACTGTTTTGGAGTTATCTGTTTCATTAATCATTATTTATGCCTTCCGTATGGCATATAACAAATGGGGAATATTTTCAGACAATTTAAAGTTTGGATAAACCCCTAAAGCTTTACGGGGAATTTGAATTTTGAATCAAATTGAGCTGTTTTATTTTAATCAAATATTTTAATTTAGGAATAAAATTTTTACAAATAGATGATCTAAAATAGGTAATTTAATGTAAAAGAAAGTTCTTATACAAGCAAAAGAAATGTAAATAGAATAAATTATAAGAAAAAAACTACCAACCCACAAAACAAATACACAATAATCTACTACAAAATATAAAATATAAAAATATAGTCTAATACTGATAACTCTGCTTATGAGGTCATGGTTCGCTAAACATATATGTAGCTCATATCTATCAAAGAATAAACGATAAAAACGAATGGGACATGTAGTATGAACAACCAAAAGTGGGAGTAATAACTTATAGTCATTAAATCTAAGTAGTCATGAGACATTTTAGGTTTCCTATGATAATTTCTAATGTTTTAATCTAATAAATGCATATATCAAACTGCTACACACAGGGGCAAACCTATGCTTGCTTGAGGGTGGGTACCCTCAAAATTTTAATAATTTTTCCACTTCTTCATTTCCACCTTCCACTACCCAATCATTGTTCTGAAGCTCACCTTCTAAGAGTTATAATTGTTGGCGATTTTGGCACTCATTCAATTTGTGACGAGGTTGGAAGCCTTTGTATCACTTAAGAGTGGTTGGTTTAGCATGTGGATTATCCTTCACTGTTGCTCTCGGCTTGACTGGGTTCTTGGCTTTGACATTCTGATTGTTGGAGCCTCTTTGTAAATGTGTCTTTATATTATTTTTCACTGTTGGTGGTGACTACATTTTAATATTTTCAGCTGCAATGTTGCTATGACATCGCTAAGAATTATAATTGCAAGAGTGCCGATTGAGTTGCATCTCAACTTTCAAAGCGAAGTTGGCTACCTGTGATAGGGACCAAATAGAATTCAGTTCAAGTTTGTCCTGGACTACATCTTTCAATCCTCCAATATATCGTGCCACCATATGGTTATTTGATTTATTAAGGTTGTTGAGGGAACTAAGTCGATAAAGCTCTTTGTTATACTCACAAACGTTTCAATTTACTTGAGTATAATGTTGGTAGCTCATGTATAACATTTGTTTGAAATCTATAGGTAGAAAGTGTCTGCATAAAAGTTGTTTCATGATCAGGTTTCAGAATCTCACACTCCCTTTTCCTTCCCTCCGACAAGATTGGAGCACCTGTTGCTACTAAGCTCTTGCGCCACCTTTTAGTCTGCATGTTGCATACTTGACTTATTTTTCAGTAGAGATCTCCATGTATTAAAAAAATGTTTCAACAGCTCGCTCCTAATCAAGATAATCCTCTATATGCAAATGCCCATCATAAAATGAAACATCTAATTTAACACGGAATTCTTCTTTTTGTCTCGGACGTCCTCCCAGATGACGTAGTAAACATGAAATGGAGAGTAACCTCCATCACCAGAATCATAACCTTCCATAGGTTTTTGTAAATATCCTTCATCTTCAGAATTAGATAGTTTGAGTACACATGTTATGTGTCGTCTATTATTTCTCACCTGTGAGTTACCTATTCAGTAGATCAGTGAGGTTCAGTAGATCGGTGAGGTTGTCTGTGCCTCTGCTTGTATGTGTATACCACCTATCTTAAGACTTTGCAGCTCACGGCGAATTTTAGTAGTGAATTTAATGAACTCAATGGAGACTTCCTCTAGTTGCATGGAGCCTCTACTTGAGCCATCCACAATGACTCCAAACTCCGATCGCCATCAGGAGCTTGTTGTCTATTGCTTTATGCCATTCATTCCAACAAGTATGTTGGCTCTAATACCAATTTGCTTTAGGAGCTAGCAAGCACTAGACTTTAAAGAAATGACAAAAAAAAAAAGATAATCAGAATAGAGCAAGCCCAAATATCAAGATAGTATATCAATGTCCTTCTATTCTTCTGTTACAACACATATTTCCTTCCTTCCTTCTATGAATTGCGAACAGACTAAATTAAGTAAAATGGAAATAAATGTATATGTTGTACTATTTATGTCACAATTAGTAAAGCTACTAATATTAAGTAGTGGTAAAAAAGGTGAGTGGCGATAATAACGATAGAGTTGGTGGTATAATACAGTAACATATGATTTGTGCCCACATCGGATTTCACACAGAACGAGCACAAATTTGAGTAATGTGTTTCCCTTCAAAGGGGATCTCCTCCTATATTTTATTGTATATGCTACTAAAAATTATAAATGTGTGATTCACCCCATACTTTCTATTTTCATGACATTTAGCATCTCCTTTGATACAATTTCTTTTTTCTAGCTAGTTTGTTATCCAAAAAATAATTTATTTTTTTGTTAGATGGGTTGAGAAAATCCTCTACTCTTACTTGCACCCTCTTTTTTTTTTGGCTTCTCGATACAGTTATATGATGCTGAGTACATTAATTTGATTTTATATAGAACACTCTCAGTAAAATTGCAACTTAAACTCAGTAACAGTAAAAATCCAACGTTAAAACCCTGAATTGGCTGTCTCAAACATTCACAATGTTTCAGAAAATTTCACAGAGGAAACTTCCTTTGGCTTCTGCAGCAGCAAAGGCCGCTCATTTATGGCCTCAAAAGTTTGTTGGCTAGTACTGGACAATCTGTACCCAAAAGAAACTCTTCAGCTTTAACTACAGTTTTAATTGCTCCAATTCTCTGTACAACTTACACAGATATATTATACTGAAAAGTAGATAGGCTGCCATTTCATCACAATTCGATCAGAAGTACTATTCATATCAACTTGTACCTTAAACCACAACTCTGACTTCTAATGATGAACTCAGAGCTTTTTGCGTACTGAAAACGTTGATTCATATAACAGTACAGTCCATCACATATTGATATTGATTTCAACTGAATAACAATTGATCTATAAACCTTACATTGTATTCTTAGCATAGCAGCAGCTTCAGATCTAAGGACAACTCTGATTAATCGAAGCTCAGTGCTTCAGATTATTCAATTCCAGCCTCTGAGATGCTCTGCAACGAAGGACGCCATTGATGAGAATTCCTCGGCCTCTCTTTCTCATTCTTTACCACCTGAAACAATCAGATCCACCAAATGATTCATCCCTACTCGCCTGGATATATTATTGCATGTGAAAGCTAATGTATTTGTTATGTGTAATAGTAGACAATAGTGCATATAGTAATCCATATATTTAAGGAATATTTCATGTTCTTATATTAATTTTTAAATCATATATATTACTAGAGGTATAAGTATCATCATTGAAATAGCTAAATATATGGATTGAAATTGTTTTTTTTATAAATATTTACTAAATAACATAAATAATACATTATGAATAATATTAATTTTAATTAAAGCTCATTAATTTATTTCATTAGTATCAAGAATATAATTAATTAAATTTCATTATACTAAGAATCAATAAAAAGGAAATAAATGAATTTAAATAGTATTTTAAATTTTTGAATCTATACAAATTCATCTTGAATTGAATAATGAAAAAAAAAAACTTTTCAACAAATTTAATCGTAATTTTAGCTGAAATTAAACAGTTAGTGCATTAGATTTAGCTCGACCAGATAACTCATTACTCAAGTGGGGAAGAACTGATGAAGGCTCCCATATGCGCTAAATAAAAGAATTTGAATAAAATAATATTAATCTCAACTTGATTGGTTGATTGCCCAACTAAAGATGCCAAAAATTCCCATTACGAGAGAACAAATCACTACTGAAGATGCTTCGAATTTGATGATACTGCACAAATCCCTAAGCATTTCACAAATCTTTGATGATTTATTTGTTTTGTCCCTTCTCCTCCTGAAAGTATTTTTCTCAGGAGCTTTTATTTTTGTCATTTTCCCCTCTCCTCCACCAACGAAATTAATGAACTAAAAAAATAGGATTTTTATTTACCTGATCCCTTCCCTCAACGCCTGCGCTCTGCGGACGTCTCTGTTTGTGCTGTTGTTGCTTCATCAGCTCGGCCTGGGCCTTCATATGCCGCTCTTGCTTCCTCGCCTGCACTGCTTTTGCGACTTCTGGAGAACCAAAAAACAAAGAAATATCAGATTTTGTAATACCATTAACCAAATGTTTATAAGAGAAAAGCTTAAGCGACCTTGGGAGGTGACAAGGCGGTAGACTTGACCAATGAGGAGCAGGTCATTGTGCTTAAGGAGCCGTACACGAATGAACCGGAGAGAACCAGTATCGCCGCCGTCGCCGCCGGCGTCTCCTTTTGTGTTGAGAACATCGCCGGAGATGTGGAAGGAGACTAAGGCGACGTGATGGCCCGGGTGACTCCGCATCACTTCCCCGGCGGTAGTCGGCCAGTAGAGCTTCTTGAGGCTGCCGTTGGGGTGCTGGATAATGGCCGCCGCCACAACGTCGATCGCCTGACAATTCCCCATTTTTGCGACTGAAAAAAAGCTTGTTTTGGATCGTTGATGGCGGTGGAGATGGAGATGGAAATGGAGATGAAGATGGGGAAGGAGAGGAGGAAAAAAGTGGGAAAATAATAATTTGGCTACCTGGCTTCTTTAATGTGATAACAGGATGACGGAGGCTTTTTTGTAATTTAGTTTTGAGAAAATTTTATAAAATATCCTTTAATTTGGTTTTTTTAATGAAAAATAGTTAAAGAATTTTATAAAGAATCATAGAAGTTTATCATTAATTCTTTATTATTTCACGACTGTAGATAAATAATTTATGGTCTTAGTGGTGCATAAAATCTCCAACACGCATATAGGTTGTTGATATATGAAATAATGCGTTTATATCAAAAATTAGTGAAAGGGAAAAATTATAGAGCGAAAGATAGTTAAAATAATTCCATCAATATAAATTTAGGAATACAAAAAATATTATTTTTCATAATTAGAGAAGCGCTGATATAATATGATAGATATGAATCGTAGAAGATATATCTTAATTATGATTGTCACGAGATAAAAATTGAGATGTGATAATGGTAAGTAGTTCACATCGTAATTCCTCTAATAGTAAAAAATAGTGTAAATACATTTCGATAATGATATTAAGAAACGTCTCTAAAATTCGGGGCGGGGCGGGCCGGGGGGCTAATATAAGATGCGACGATATTATTATTTAGCTAAAAGATTAGTGTTTGAACATTGGTAGGCATCAAATGAAAGTTGGGAAGTAACAATAAAAGTTTGATGATTATTTGAGGTTGAATTAATTATTCTCCTAATAAGACAAGAATAGGCAACTAGAGGACATGTGTCTAACTTTAGTGGTTAACAGACATAAATCATTGATTATTGGCACGCATTGGGCAATAGCTGATGATAAATGTCATAATTTAAGCAACGAAGGGAAATCAACTTGGTTTGTGTCCTAGTAGGAGGAGAAGATAGACAAACAAGAAAAAGGGGTCAATCATCGATGTCTAGTGGAAATCAAACATTAATTATTTGGTAATAGTTGAACACGGGTTGACAAGGTTCAGAAAAAGTCAGGTAATATTAGCAGTCAGCTTGGTCATTCTCTTGATAGTAGGGGAGACCAGGAAAATAGATGTACATACATAAGAAATTAGCAATCAACTTGGTCATTTTCCCTACCAATTTCTATGCATTATATCTTTTGTTCTGAATAAATTCTTATTCTAGATTATACTTTTCTTTTGAAAATGCGGGGGATTGTTATATTTTATATTTTTTCTTTTGATGCTTATTGTTGTTGTAATGAAAATATTTATTGTTGTTGTAATGGAAATACTTATTGTTGTTGTAACGTAAATACTTATTGTTGATATAACAAAAATATTTATTGTTGTTGTAACGGAAATACTTATATTCATTATATGACCTAATTTGAAAATATTTAAATTAGTTATCATAACTGATATATCATCAAAAAAATATCTTAATCGGGCACGAGTCTCGAGGCAAAATCAAGCCGAAAACTTCAAAAATTAAATATAGGATCACATGAACTCCAATTACAACGAACTTATAATCAAAATGAGCGTCTCGGAAATACAAACTCAATGACACAAAATTCGACTCAATCTAAGCCCAAATGAATCCAAATCAAGCACCTGAAGCGCTGTTAGAAAGTTCAAACAATAATTTGAGTTACCAAACAGTTTCCAAATATATATGTCATTCTTATAGTCGAATCGAGCGACTCGACGAGACGAATCCAACTAGCCTAAGATCGCAGAATTCTGACATCATTAAGACCTTCAAATGTCTGACGAAGGCTGCACAATCAAGGGATTCAATATCGATCATCCATCTGACCACTCCTTATTTACCCCTGATCTCTCACATATTTACAAGTCATGCCAGTCCATAATATCTATAAATAGACCCCTCATTTCTCATGAGAGGGGACCCAAGCAAGAAGAAGAAGAGAAGAAGAAGAGAAGGATTGGAGAGAAGAAACTCCTCCACGACCACTGTCGGAATTCTGCTCGACGCCCGAGTGACGTCGGAATTTCGCCCGACGTCCGAGTGACACCGAAATTTTGCCCGACGCTTGAGTGACACCAGAATTCTTCTCGACGCCTGAGTAACGCCAGAATTCCCCTCGACATTCATGTGACATCAGAATTCTGCCCGATCTCCAAGTAACGTACGACAGAACTCTAGGGCAGTTTTGTTGAAAGAAATTTAGGAGTAAAGGAAACTGCCCGACGTTGTAACTGGATTTCAATCTAAAAGTGATTCATCGTTATCTGATCGACCTAAATTTTAAGGATAAGTCAGCCTCTTATATTTCAAACAAACACTAGTGAAACTTTTTCAACTGGGCGTGGCCCCGTGGTTTTTTCTCTTTCCAGGATTTTCCAAGTAAAAATCCTGGTGTTATTTCATTTTCTGTTTGTGTGCTGGATATCCGTACAACGCTGAGACGTAAACTTTCTAACTCTATCGCCACGTATATTCTAACCCACAACAATAACGTTTTTAATTAAAACAACTATCTATTTCTGGTCTATATGAGGCCTTCTCGGGTATGATGGATTTTACAATTTTTTTTCTTCATCATTCATTCGATCCATTGTATATGTTCAGAGCAAATATTTACATAGCTGTTTATGTTTCCTGTCATGATTAGAACAAATCGTCACTGTGAAAAGCCCATTGAATTATGGGAGGGAGTTAGACCGATGTGTACCTTCGCATCTAGGATGAGCAAAAATCTAACTTTAAGAACCATGTTTCTTACGCCTCGGTCTACTTATTCGATAAGTTTTCTAATTGCAATTGTCTTATAGCTCTTCTATTTTTACAGCACACATAACTGGTTGATAATTTATGTCTGTTCCATTAAAACACATGTTATAGATTTATAAATAACTTTTTATTGATTTTCTTATAGGTTGATATATGCCTTTTGCTCAGTGAGATATTGTCATATTGATGATATTGATTGATTGATATTAACACACTAGAGTATAAATATTGTTTTTTTTTTTTCCCTGCATTGAAGACATATGGTGAGTTTTTATTATTTGTTGGGCTTTGCAAGTTCATTATAAGATTTTTACATTAATTCAGATAAATGTAAAGAGTACGAGTATTGAGGCTTAACAGTGATCATGTTTTGATTTTATTTTAAGTTATCTGGGTTATATGTATTCTTTTGTAGCCATGGCTATTATATATATATATATATATATATATATAATAGCCATGGCTACAAAAGAATACATATAACAATAGCAAAATGTAAATATTAACAGTAGCAATGTAATGATATTTATTTGTTTTTTTTAATGCAATAATTAACTTAGGATGTCCTATTGATCTAGTTGTAAATAAACGATTATTGATTGTTAACTGAAAGAAAAAAATATATAAAATGAGTTGAAAAGATAATAAAGAAAAAAGAAAAGAAAATTCTTCCACTTTAAATATTGGGAAGTGATATCAATCACTCTTAAGAACACTAACATGTTCCCATTTTGAGTTCACAAATTGAGATGAGCATAATGGGTCTTCTTTGGACTAAAGTTTTGGCATCAAGTTTTTTGGGGTATTCCTGTAGTTCGAGCAAAGTTAATGAAGTTCCTGGGTTGGCCAAAGTTTGAGGATAAATCATGGTCCATTGTGAGTTATTTCACATCATCTTAAGACCACATAAGAGACTCATTAGTGCGATGACACTAAAGGTTGCTAATGCAAAGGCTAATTATGGTGTCTGTAAGCCAAGGTACTTAAGATAACCCAAAATAAATCTCTAAATGGTGAGCTCAAATCAAATAAAGATCATCACACTTCTAGGTGAACATAGGTTTTGTTTGGAACGACTTTTTTACCGCTTCTTAAAGCATCTTTTTAATATAAATTTTTTTATTTTTTACTACAAAACTGCTTTAAGAAATAGTAATAAAGTCATCCCAAACAAAGTTATAGATGATAGTTCAAATGCCTTTGTCGCTACATCTTCAATAGGATCGTGAGAGAAATCACCTAGACCAAAAAAGCCAATTGCACCCTCACCAGCCAGCTGATTATGGCTTCTGCTTCTTAAAGCAGTAAGAAAGTTGTCTCAAACGGAGCCTAAATAACTCTTCACTTCTATGTTGGGTGTATTTAAGATATAACAATTAAATGTTTTGATAATATTATAGGACATAAGAAATATAACAAGTCTGTGATGAGAGAAAAGTGAAAGAGCAAATGGCCTTTTACATGTTGGGGTTTGGTAGCTGTAGCTCTCAAAGGAATATAGCACTCAATGAATGCCTGACTTGGTCATAGCAATTAATTCAGAAATTCATATCCTCAAAGGCCATTTATTCATGTAAGCTGGATCAAACTTGCTAGCCACAAGTAGGAGAATTTTGGTTGGCAGTTGAAGCTCAACTATCAAACATTTAATGTTTATAAAAAAAAAAACTTCAGACTATTCTTTTCCTTTAAAAACAAAACAAAAATATTGAACCTTTCATGATCAAATGATTATTATTAGTTGACTAGGTGCTATGATCTCAGGTATATATCAAATCAAGCATAGTGGGATTGTGCTACGGCCTGTTGCAATTCCTTCCAACGATCCCATATATATATATATATATTGATATGTAGATTTAAACAATTTTTAATGTTTAAACTTCATTAAAAAACTTAAATAACATATAATAAATTATCCTATTTTTTATTAAATTTATAAATTCAATTATATCTAATAACTAACTTATAATTAAGTTTAAATTATTAGCATCAAACATATATATGATTAGTTAAGCTTGATTAAAACTCAATTTCAACTTGAACTTGATAAAAAAAACTAATAAATAAATTTGTACAAGATTCTAAAATTTAAATTATTTTCAAATTAAGTTCGTGCACCATAAAATATAAATAAGCGAATACGAACAATATAGTACTCGGCCAGATTGGATACAACTATAGCCTTATTTATATTATCATATAAACGAAGTTAGTAGACCCAGCTGTCAGATCGCTGCTACTCGTCATCTCCTCCTTCAGCTCGGGGGAGTTTTTATCCTTCCTCTATGTTTTATTATTTCTTCATTATTGTTGATTTGGTTTCTCTTTCAGCATTGCCCTTGTTGTGGCATATGACAGTTAAGTTGGATGACCCTGATTTTTTGCATGGCAAATCCAACCCTCTTTCATTTATTGATGCCCTAATGAGGTCTTCATCATCTGGCTCATTTGTGGACCTTAAACCGTCCACCTATCGGGGCTTGCCCTCTTTGTGGATTTCGGAGGATGAGGTCTTAGCTCTTGCCACACCCTTTGCCTTTTCCCTTATTTGATATTTCCCTAATCATAGGCCATCTTTGGATGAAATTAGGAGGTTTTTCTTTAACTTAAAACTCTCTGGAGAATTTTCCATCTCCCTTTTGGATTCCCGCCATGTGCTAATTAAGTTGCGATGTGATTTGGATTATTGTCGTGTCTTTGCTCATCGTTCCTACTTTATTAGTAACTTCTTTATGAAGTTGACTAAGTGGTCACCATTTGTGGACATTTCTGAGGAATACCCCATTCTCCCTGCTTGGATCACCCTCCTAAATTTGCAGCCACACTTCTTTTCCCCCTGTATATTACATAGTATTGGATCTCTCTTTGGACGGCTTCTTCGTATTGATAATGCCACAGTGGCGGGATCTCGTTTGTTTGTTGCTAGAGTTTTGGTGGAAATTGATATCACAAAATGCTATCCTGATAAGGTATAGTAGGGTCCTAAAAATTTGGTTACATTCAATTCATGATGATGGATGAATTTTCATCCTTTTGTGATCATTGTAAAGCTTTAGGTCATTCTAAAATAGAATGTGTATCTGTTCATCCTCAAGTAACTAAGGTCAATCGGAATAATGTGATTGTTATTGGAGATTTACTCGATGCACATACGAATTATCGTGGCAATGTTTGTGTTGATTTAACGGTGCACGATAAGGTGGATGTTGGTGTTGCGGGTCAGTTGGATAATGTGATTGCTGATGAAGTGGAAATTGGCATGCATGTCAATTTGGTTCGTGGGGAACCTCTAGTTCCACCTATTACTGATTCGGAAAGGTCGATTGTGTTAATTTGGATTTGGATTATCCTGTGCACGATGTGTTTCAGGGTAATGTTAATATGGAGGTTTATCAATTGGCTATAATCCCTACTGTTGAGACTCCTCCAGCTAATGCGCATGTGAGTGTTGAGAAGGATCATAGCCTTCTCAATACAGCGTTGTTGGATGAATCCTCGGCTGAAACTAAAGTTGTTTCTCCCTTGTTTACATCTGAACCTGCTCTATCGCATGTGCATATGCATCCAAATGGAGTGCTTTTTATTGATGTCTCGGTCTCCCTTATCTCCAATGATGAATTGAAAGCTCAACTCTCGGTAAATACGAAGGATTTCTTGGAACAAATCAACTTGTTGGAAGGGTCTACCTCTTGTGTTAATGTTGACGGTAGGCATCAATCTTTTTGACGATGATGGGCATCTCATTGGCTTTGACAACATACATTTTTGTTGGTTGCAGTGATGGACATTGACCATAGTACTGTCAAATGCGTATAAGTAGAGCTTTTGTTCTCCCATTAAAAATTCATCTTATGGTATTATCTCACCCCTCCAATATGGCAATATAAAGAAGGGCCATCTTATAGATTTTTGAAAAGAGACCTTATAATCTATTTCACTTAAATAAAAACTCCATTTATTTATCATATACTATTTTTTTAGCATATTAATGTTATGATATCAAAATTGATTGCTACTGAGTTCATAATATTTGTCTTTTCAAAGTACTCTTGTAAATTAGAATTAGCATGCAAGAATTGAATTTTAGAATAGTCCTAAAATATATTCTTAAAGTTCTATTCATACGAAGTTTTTAATTTAGGTCCGTTTGGCATGATCACAATATTTTATAAGAATAATTATAAAATTGTTTTGAAGAAAATAATTTTTTTAAAATGTTATTATAAAAAGTAATTTCTAAAAAATTTTATTAAAAATAATGAAATAAATGACTAAATAAAAATTGTTATTAAAATCTAAAAAAAATAGCAAAAAAGATTGTCCCAAAGGATTATGGATTCCTGTGTTAATGTATTTTTGGTAGCACATATTGTCAAAAAAAATTGGTCAACTCCTCGAGATGTGAAAATAAAGCAAATACTTCGTATTATTTAAAGTTTCGTCCGGATGTAGAACTACGTCAGGTGTCCGAACCTAATAAAAATTCCCGTTTTAGGAGGCTGTAAGTCGATTTTGACGTGGTGAAAAAAGAAAAATAATGGCTTTCGAGATAGTTCAATTTTTAATAATTATAATGATACATTTATAGGCATAATTTGGTAGTTTTACATAAATAAATTTATAATTTGACAAGTACCCCTCGAATTAATGCGATTGTGAAGAAGTAGGTTTATCAATTATCACATATAATTCTGTGGAAATACAAAATATGAAATACGCTGCCATTTCTACCTTTTTTGGTGCAAAAGCTAATTTATTTTCGTATGGCAACTAGCAACCCATAGAATTCAAAACTCAATTCAAATTTTAAGATTTGTTTGGAAGCTTTTTGTAAAATTATAAAGCAGGAAAAACTAATTTTTCTTATAACTTGTTATAAAAAACAGCACACTAGTCCTTTTTTTTTTAAATAACTTTAGGCTATTTAGGATAATTTTTGTATTAATTTCTAAAATAACTTTCTAACATAAAAAATTTTAATAAAAAAAATTCTATTGAAAATCTGTTATATAAAATAACTTTTTATTATAAAAATTTATTGAACAAATAATTTATATACTAAAAAATTATTTTCAAAAACAATAAACTAATCCCAAATGAAGAAGAAATTATTCTGTGTAGGGGCCGGACATAAAACGCTCTGGACGAATCAGAATGTACCACGTCAGCGATATCGAACAACAAAACCGAGCAATACCATGCCGCAGTATTGAGGGAGTGACATTGTGCATTTTGATTGATTTCCAAACTGTGTTCGACATCCGCACATATTTCAAGATAAATTTCTTATTGCTTTATAAAACAACTTTTTAGTATAAAAATATTTTGAATTTAAAAAATATCCCAAACGAAGCACTAGCAATTACTTTTTATGAATATAAAAGTGAATTTAAAATATGAAAGAACAAATATATAATTAAGATTCAAATTATAACACTATTTGATGGAATCTCAATGATAGAATTATCATAAAACTACCGAGCCTGAAATGAGAATAGCGAAAGATTGCATTAAATTAAAAAGTAAACAACCAACATAAAATTTCTCCAACAATCAATAATTACCAACATCCCCATCCATAGTAGTAGAATAAAAGCTTGATATTATTGTTGTTACAATTATTATCCTATTAACTAAACTTTGTTCTCTATATCTACAGGCTATCCTCATTCCCTGCAACTATGAAACTCAATTATAATACAACTAGTTTCATTATTCCATACCTCATTCTCACCAATTTCAGTCACTGTAATGGACCAAAATGTTGATGCTCATATCTTACAGAAAGAATCCAGAACCAGAAGAAATTCTAACAATGATACACCACACATGGCTCCAGCTAATTTACCATATCACTGAATTGATTACTTTCTATTTCAGTGAAGAAGATAGAAGAGGTAGCCATTGTTCTCAACTCATGCATGCACAGCAAGATGATACTATTTTCAGAGCAGTATTCATAAGATGACTTGTCTTTTATGCGATTTTGTAAAACATTTATTTGGATGCTAAGTTAGAACAATAAATAATTTGCAGAAACTTGCAGAAATTATTCTGTGCGGAGCCAACCAGAATGCTCCGCGTCAGCGGTACCGAGCAGTACCGAGCCAAAAGTACTGAACAAAAGGATGATGTGGCACATTCTAATCCGTCTCCGGACAGCATTTGGCATCCACACAGAATATTTTTTCGAAACTTGACTGCTAGATAAGGATTCTGTCATTATGCATTAGATATCTAAAAGAGTAGGTGATGAAAGTTTACTAAATAACTCACAAAGAACAACAAATGAACTGTGATAAGCATTGATCCAAAATGACTGACATAACATAGCAGTTTCTGTATATCACATGAAATATACAAATAAAGCATATATTAAGGGAAAACTGTAACACACTAACTCATTTAAGATGAATATATCACTAAGTCTTTCTCAGACTGCAAAATGAGAAGACAAACAACTAAAAGACATGGCCCAAAGAACAGAAAATAACACAAGCTTTGTGCTTACACAGATGGAAAGAACTTGTTTAGATTAAATGGCAAGGAGTAGAATTCTTCGCTTCTCACATCTGTCTTGAAGGATCGAAATTTGTCCCACCAATGATAACCTCTGTCCTTCCTAACCGCACTGTTGTGTCTATGAAGAGTGTTGTCTAAGAAGAATGCCACAAGGCCCGCAATAAATGGTTCCGATGAGAATATGACATTAATGATATCATTGAACTGCAAAGAAGAAATTACCTTCTGGATAAAAACTAAGCAGGTAACGGTGCTGATGGATTGGAGAGATTATTCTATGCAGACACCGGACGGGAGAACCGTCCGGTACTGCTTGGTACCAAGCAAGGTACCGCATGTACCAACGTTCGGTACAGAGCGCGGTACACTTTTGGGGTGATGTGGCACATTTTTATTTCCTTTGGACAACGTATGGACTCCGCACATAAAAATTTGCCGATAGATTGGAGGTGTAAATGAGTTGAGCCAGACCGAACTCAAAGTGTTATTCGTCCTGGCCCGTTATCCAACCGAGCAAAAGAGCGCGGTACACTTTTGGGGTGATGTGGCACATTTTTATTTCCTTTGGACAACGTATGGACTCCGCACATAAAAATTTGCCGATAGATTGGAGGTGTAAATGAGTTGAGCCAGACCTAACTCAAAGTGTTATTCAGCCTGGCCCGTTATCCAACCGAGCAAAGTTTTTATATTTATATTTAGCTAGTTAACTTATCGAGCCATATTATTGTACATAGAAACATAATCAGACTATTATCGAGCCGATTACAGAAGACAAGATTTTTTCGACAGTTCTATTGATAAGTAAGTGTTCACATACCCATCTTGCACTGGTATGAGCTGGACCATAGCCAGCAACTGCAGTGTATTCTTTGAAGTATTGAGGAACTGATAAGCCCATAAAGACAGAAAATCCTAAAATAAACTTTGTTCTGAAGGAGTTTAGATTGCAGAATTGTAAGAAGCTGAGACCACAAGAACCTGTTCGACAGCAGCAAGTAGGGAGATATTATAAAATATCTTTTGAAATTTTAAGGCAACTTGTAATGAGTGATATAAATAAATGTTTGATCTGAAACATACCAACATAAGCAAAGAAAAGGCAGTATAAAGCTGCAAATATGGGTGCAGGAATGGATGCAAAAACAGCTCCAAATTTGCCTGACAACAACAATAAGATGGTTATAAACAAATCCAACAGGGTAATTTAATACATAAATGACAAGTTCAGAACAAGTTATTCCTTCTACTCTAAGAAAGCAGCAGCAATTATGTCTGAAAGCTACCAACAAAGCTAATTTAAACCATCATGAAACAATCAAAAAAACACTAAACAACAAAATTGTTGATATTTACCTGTCAGATTGCATTTTACTGAAGGGTCATTTACACGTTTTTAAACTAAAAGTACTATGATATTTACCAATATTGCACCCCCAAACTCTGCAATCAACTATTACACCAGGAAACTAATCCCATGTTAGAGCATCTCCAATCGGAAATCCCATTTTTTACTCCAAAATGCAGTGAAACTCAAAAATGTCGTGATTCATCTACAATCAAACTCCATTTTGTGCGTTTCTGCCAGGGTAACTGTCTTTCTCCTCTTTCGCGCGTTTCTTCGGCAAATCAGGTTGAGACAAAAAAATCGCGTAGGCGAACAGTGTCACGCCAATATTGGCATCGCACTGTTCACCGGCAAGCAAATAGCGGAAGATTTGGCGTTCGGCTGGAGCAATCAAACGACACCATATGCATGTTTGTCGTTCGGTTGGAGATGCCCTTACAAGCACAACACTATTTACCTATTTTTGAACATAGCTAAGCCATGATTGGTGTATTTCGATAATAAACCCACAACATATCCACCTAAGAAATTTAAATAAGAGAAAATAACTTCAATAGTTAAAGTTGGTTGTTGCAAAATGAGTGATAAGATGGAGGTGCCATCAAAGTAGGAAAGATTGAGAGAAAAACTATTATTTTAGAGAAAAGATAGGAATAGGAATTATTGAAAACAAATAGCATAAAATAAACTTGAGTGAGTCGGGCATGTAAAATGAAGAGTAAATGATCAAAGATAAGAATGATAAATGAAATTAGTTTGAAAGTACTAACAAAGTTAAGGCATAGACCATTTGTAAAATGATTAGAAATTGTAGAAAGTTTTACATGAACACAAGTTAAAATCTCAAGAAACACTTGACAAGAGTAATAAAAATCAAGGATTCGTGAAATCAATAATGAAATAAAAAAGAAATACCTCTCTCCTTTGATGCCATAACGCATATGCTAATTATTCATAGCAAGAATATAAAATAGTTACTAAATATAATATATCTTCATTATTGAGAAACATCCCTTTCTTTCAATGTGTTTTCATTTATTATTATCTTCTCTTGCCTATATATAGACAAATTTGTACAAGTAGGATCAACTAAGAACCGCCTAGCTTGGCGTACAATGTCTGCTTCTCATCTCAAATACCATGATAGAAAATATAAATAGCTACATCTTTGTTTAAATGACTTTTAATCTCACACATGCAAGCCTATGCAAAGGCAAGAAAAGAGGGCAATAAAGGAAATACAATAAAGTAAGATATTGAGGATATATTACAATAATAAATACTATAAATTCCTCTCATAACTATTAACCACATATGATAATATTAATATGACAACATCATTAAATATAATAACTATAATATCCTTTATAGTGAAACTACAATCATGCGGAACAAGCTCCAAATAGGAGTTATGTGCATGAACACATTATTTCGATCGCAATCTACAACTGTTTGGTCCTTGTGAGACCCCATTAGAGCCACTGTAATGGCATAGAGCACTAATGGTCATGGCAAACTACAATTGAGGGTAAAAGCACTTACCAAGAATGGAAAAGAAAATCATAAACCCTGCAGATATCTGAACAACTCTTCGACTTCCAACGCGTGTCAAAGCCAACAAACCAGCATTTTCACTGAGGAAGAAGCCCCAACATAAACAAAATCCTTTCATATTTACTAGAACATGCTGATAAACGTACATATATCAAGCAAAACTTACACGGATACAGTGGAGCCACTAGCTGTTCCAAACAAACCATCAAGCAAGATACCAATTCCCTGGAACCAGCAGTAATTAATAATTATATAGCCATATCAACAAAAAAAGTAACCAAAATAGAGCTAAGACCAGTTCAGTTCCACACCTGCCAGCCAATTCCACGACTAAGAACAGAAGGGGGCATTGGAGTAGCGCTAGCATATCTAGACACTGCAATGAAAGTGCCAGTTGACTGCATAATAGAATGTACTTTAGATTCAAGCAATCATTAAGGCTTCATTTGGTTCCGTTTTCTTACTGCTTCTTAAAGCTGCTTTCTAGTACAAAAGTTAAAATTTTTGTACAAGAAAGCAGCTTTAAGAAACAGAAAAAAAGCTGTCCCAAACGAAGCTTAAAACTTCAAAGCTAAACTAAAATAAGCCACTGTTTTTGCACTTGTAGGCCAAAATAAGAAACCAGAAGTCAACATCTAGAACACATAAACCAACCTCTACTAGACCAACAAATGCAGCAGCCATCATTGCAAAGGCTTCCCCAGCATCAAATGATGGTGCTCCCCATTGAAATGGGTATGGAACTCTTATCCTGCAAGTATAACATAGATCATGAATAGCTAATAATGAGCATGACCATAATCAACCAAAAAATATATAAAGAAAAAATTTACCAGGGAGCCGAGCTAACAAGTCCAGAACGATCAGTTCGGCAATGCGATTGTGTTTTAGGTGGAGCATGCTTATATGCCCCACCAATGGTGAGAAAATACGCATACAGCCATACAATTGCCACAGAAAAGATAACTGCGAACCGATCAAATACAGGCTTTTCTGCATGTATAGCATGAGGTATGTACTGCTCAGACAAAAAAATCCAAATGTTAACAAACTTAAGAATCATTGGGAGGAAAAGGATATTGGAATTTCTAATTCAAAATGACTTGCAATTTTTTAAATTCATGGTACCTGTGAGATTACAATCAAAATTATAATTGTTGGAAGCCCAATTTCAACACATTTACCAACCTGGAACATATTATAAAATCTATCAGGGCCCAAATATCAACACTTGGAGTGAAAAATAATTTTAAAATCTGCCAAATGCATCTCCAACATTCCAATAACAAGTTTAGACAATACCGCAGGGAATCCCAATTCGTAAAGCCCAAATCCAGCAAGCGCAACCAGCGGAACTGCGGACAGTGGACTGAGAAATCTGGTGGATAAAACAATTCATAGCAAATTAATACATTGGCATGTCATATCTTAATAGAGCCAATAACAAAAGATGAAGACCAACCTGGTTACATTGCGCCAAAGGCCGCTAAACCCAATGATAATTTGAAGTGTAGATGCAACAATGAGGGCACCTTGAGTTCCTCTCATGATCCTGAGAAATTTCTGGTCAAGAAAAGACAGCAATCCATCAGATACTAATTGATAAGATGCAACCTCAAAAAGTTAATTAGGCATTTATTCCAGTAGCAACCCTATGAGGTTCAACAATGTCACTATATCGACCAGCCAGAATGATGGAGATAGTCGGTGCAACGAACGTGTAAGACCCTCCAATCACCGCCGGCAAGCGAGTGCCAAAGAAAGACTGTAAGAGAGTGTTTATACCAGCCACAAAGAGCAAAGTCTGAACTACCCTGGCCTTCTCATCCTAGTAAGAGAAAACATTTGTTGTCACAATATATATACATAAACCATACAAACTCAACCATATCACAGCAACTTAAGCTTTTACGTTCCTTTTAAGTGTGCTGACTTACATTACCCCCTCCCATCTGAGGAACAAGTGCAGTGGGAATAATCACAGTAGTGCCCAGCATAACCAGATAATGTTGGAAACCAAGCAGAATGGCCTCCGCTGCGTATAAAAAATGGAATCTTTTAATCCCAAAAAAAAAAAAAAACTTCCTATTGAATCATCAACAAGCACAAAAATCAATTGGGTTAAATCCAAAGCTCTAAGCAAAATTATAAACTTTGGATCTGACAGAGGCATTAAAAAAGCCCCTTCCTCTAACAAAAATTCTCGAGAAACATTAACTCTCTAAAAGTCGAAAAGTTTAACAGTCAAAGAGTAGAAAACTCCAAATTGTCAAGTTCTTTTAGAAGAAAATTACATATAAGGAAAAAAAAACAGATGAAGTAAATAATAAACCCTAAAGCAAAGTGAGAGATCCTATAAAATCTAAGCTATGTTCTGTTTTACTAAGAACATATCAAAGCAAAAGGCTAAAACAAAAACAGAAGAAGGAAAATTGGCAAGTGGAAGGAAGATGAAGGCCAGATGAGAAGTTCATGAAACTCACGCCATGGAGGTGGGCTGGTGATGCAATACGAGACATTCGGCAACTGATCCTTTACGGGGTGAGGCACCAACTCGTCGGCCTTCGGCGCCGGCGCAGCTCCTCCTCCCCCGCCTCCTCCTCCGCCTCCGGCCATTATCTTCCACTCTTCCTACTCTTCCACCGTAAGTATGGTAAGCCCACACCCTCTCCACTCAAACAAGACCCTAATAACTGCAACTCCCAATAACCGAACCACACTAAAACAAGTAACCGACACAGCAAAAACACTGGAACCAAAATCACTCTTCAAAAACCAAAAAAAATGACCGCAAAACAAGAGGGGAATTCCCCAAGTTTCAATTTTTCACGGCCAGAAGCAACAAAACAACGAAACCAAGATCAGAAATCAAAGCAAGAGACCGCCCACTTGCACAAGCGCAGGAAGATACAGAGTCCCCTGCTAAAAGCCGGCAAAAGCAGTGACAGCAAAGATAACACTTCCCCCTCTCCTCCGCCCTCTCCAATCTCCCCTATTTCCCTCTCTCTCTCCTCTGCTCAAAGGAATCTTCTTCTGCTCTTCTTTTATCTCTCCTCCTTTTCCGTTTCCTAAAGCAGGCTTCAACGCCGAGGAACAAAAGCCACTAAAGCAAATCCATTGCTTGGCTCTCAGCCTCTCACCAACCTTGTCCACACTCTTTTCCACCCCTCTCCTGTCGCAGATGTTCATAAAACATTATACAGTATTAGCGGCAGTAATTACATGGATGACAGAAATAGGATGCCTCTTCTGTAAAATAAAAAAAGATAGGGGGATAGAGGTAAAATAAGAAGTGTAAGTCAGAAGCTCCACCGACAAACTCTTTTCATGCTTCTCGCAGGAAAATTTCGGTCCGGCAGCTCTGCCGTCCATTCCGACACGTGGACGGTGGATTCTGCTTTGTTCGCAAGCCACCGGAAGGGGGAGTAGTGGGCGCCTCTGCTTTCGAAATTGACCTCCTCTACTGTCAAAAACTACAAACAAAATACACATAAAATATGTAGTGAGAACAGTTTACCCGTCGCTTTCTTTCAAAAATTTACTTGGAAAAAAAAATCTTGAATTCAAGTGGTTTATATATAATATATGTTTTAATTTATCTTAATTGATTTAAATATTAAAACAATTATAAAAAAGCTAATAAGAAATATTTTTTTAATATGTTGATAAGTTATTCATATAACTATTTTGTGAAATAATAATATATGATACTTTTCACCCATATATATATAAAAAAGCTAAGGATGAAGTCGAGGACATTCCCTGCCTGACCCAGGGCAACAAGAGGGAGTAATTATTACGTGCGGACAAAAAATCGGAAATTCGGACGTATACCGAGCAATACCGAGTTTCAGGTGACGCGAGGATCCCTAAATCAATGTCTTTGTCCTCAAACTTCTTAATGAATGGATGACTCTGCAATCAAATCAAGAGTAGCTAATAAAAATGGAAGCCTTAAGTTTCGTTTGAAACAACTTTCTTACTATTTTTTAAAACAGTTTTTTAGTACAAAATTTTATTGAACTAAAATTTTTTTATAAGAAAAAATATTTTAAAAATTAATAAAAAAATTATCCGAAACAAAACTTAAATGAAACTTCCTCGCTTGTGTTTTTTTGGGCTAGAGCGAGGCCTATGAGTTTTTTTTTTATATAGTTTTTTTTTTTCTAATATTTTAATAAGATTTAGGAATTATCATATTAGTTCAATGGTAATTATGCTCTTTCTTGAATGTTCCTTGAGGAGATGCAAATGAGGCTCGAGTTCCTTGAATAGATGGTGGGCCAGTTGTGGTGGTTGATTATTGTGGTCGATTATGAGAGTAGGTTTTCAAGACTTTGTGGCGGCGGATGACTATGACAATGGGCAAATTATTACGTCTGGCGTTCGAATCGTCCGGAGGTGAATCCGAGCCCACCACGTCTCCCGGACCCACCTGAGTGCACTGGGGTCTGGGTGACGTGACATGTCCGGATTCGTCGGACGTAATAATTTTCCATGATAATGGGTGGAGACAATAGCCAGAGGTGACGAATGATAACTACGACATATATAGTGCACTTAAAAATCAGTCAAAATAAGGAGTTTGTAATAAAACACAATTTTATTTTACATTTTTTTATCAAATCAAATGTCAAAATTTTCAAAATCCTTTAGAAAAAAAAATAATATACCATAAATACAACAAATCAAACCATGCTAAAAAATATAGCACAAGAATCAATCAAATTAAACTAAGCTATTTGAAAGAGATTTGCTCGAACCTTTGCTCTTTATCAAACCATCATTTGATTCAAACACAAAAGTGATAATGGGAGGGACCACCACAGAGCAATCGAAACAAGTAAGGGATCAAAAATTATTATTGTTTAATTAATTTAATGATAATTAATGAATGGGATCAAATGTCATTAGAGAAACATTAAAAAACTTCATATAGGTATAGGCTTAATCATGCAACAAATCAGGGCAATTAAGTTTCCATTTCATTTGACTAATCTCCAATTATGAAATTATTAAATTATGCTATTTATTTCAATTTACATTATTTATTTATGTCATTTATTGTTCAAATAATGTTACTTGACTTTTTAGGTATCATTTGGTTCATTGAGATCTCCATACCTTCTGCAATTATTTCTTGATATGATATAATATGTTTAATTCATTATTGAATGCAATGCCTATATAAAAATATGTCATCAACACCAATAAGTTGCTTAAGAAATATATATCATCTACATCAATACCCACACACATAATTGCCAATAACAATAGCCAATAATGTCGATACCAATATCGATGGCCAACAATATCGACAATGTTGTCAATCACCAACGATATCAACGGCCAACAATGATGATCTCCATCACCAATATGGTATGCAACATCATCACCGACATTAACGATGTCCACTGTCATCAACTAAGTTGATGCTTACTGTCACCAATAAAACTATCATTTGTCTTCGCTAATAACATTGATTTCTTCCATTGCCAACAAGGTCATCAACACCAAAACAAACACCCATCATCAACAATAATACTAATGCTCAACAACAGCCATTAAATATAATACCCGTCGTCTTTGAAAAGACCTATGCCTCGATCACCTATAAGGTCGCCGCCTAGTGTCAACAACAATGTTGATGTCAATCATCATTGAAAATGATGATATCTATCATCGCCAATATTAACATTGATGCTCTCCATCTCTACCAAAGGTTTTACTTGGGACGGTTTTCTTTTTGTTTCTTAAAATAGTTTTTTATTACAAAATTTTTAATTTTTGTACTAAAAAACTGCATTAAGAAGCAGTAAGAAAACTCTCTCAAACAAAGCCAATATTAACATCTACCGTCATTATTACTAAGGCTAACACCCGTCGGCATTGTAAGGTCTATGCCCACCTTGCTAGTTATTAGTCTACCGTCCTTATCATGCACAATGCCAATTGTCAAACACCTGTTGATGATAACATCAATGCCTCCCTGTTCCTTCTTCATCCACTGTGAAGATAATTTTCCACAAATGATATTTATTCCTTTTTAAATTATTGGGAATGATATTATGTGTAATATATGATTTAAACTAATAGAATTAATTCATCTTGATTAAATCTTAATTGTAATAACTTTAGTACCACATCGTTAAATAATTGAGAAATTTACATATTTTTATATGCTAGCATAAGACCCAGTCATTGCCGAGCTATGTTGTGTAAGCTTATAACCCAAACGGGGGCTCTGAAGTTGTTGGGAAAATGGATTTGTGAGTTACTAATTTCGAGAGAGGGCGAACGCTTAAAATGGGCGTTCAGCAAACTATATTTAATAAACACCTCAACAGTTTAATGAATTGCCCTTCATTAGAGTCGGTAGCTCCTTCAATTTGAACAACAATTTCTTTTTGTTATTTTTATGCTTTTCGGAATTACAAATTCATATTAATCAATTAGATTATTTATATACATATTAAATGTAATATCTGATTTTTTATTTCTAAAAATTTTCAATATTATTTAGGTATATGTAAATATTGAAAATCAGATGTAGAATTAGGGGTGCAAACGAGTAGAGCTCGACTACCGAATATCGAGTTTGAGCTCGACTCGTCTCACATTGAGCGCCTTGTCGTGCGCCGTCCCGAACAGGTTGGTAGCTACGACCTCCGTCGTCTGGAGCTCATCGTCGCCATCCCGGCCTCTGTTGTCCCGTCCTCCGTTGTCGCCCTCCCATCCTCCATCATCACCCTCCCTAACTCTGTTGTTGGCCTCCCTAGGTCAGTCGTCATTCGTCCCGAGATTTTTCGTCGCTCTCCTTGTTAGCACTCTCCGTTGCTCCCCACTAACATCTGATTCCGTGGACCACCTGCAGCGATTCACTGCTCTGCTAATATCCTCCTTTTTCAGTCTGTGTCCAACGGCTGCTCATTATTGTGTTCCCTACTTTATCTATATATACTGGATACCATTGTATGAAGAACTTATGAAAACAGAATGCTACAGTAACTTTACATTACTCTGTTTTCTTCTATATTCCACTTCGTCTTCTCTGCTGCTTGCTTCTATTCTTTTCACTTGCAGGTTCTCACCGACAGCAAGTTCCTTTATGGTATCAGAGCACTGAATCATGGCTAATCCAGATTCATCTTCTTCGACTGCACCTCCGCCAGCTGCAGCTGACGTTGCTTCCCCTGTATCATCTCTAACTTCAACAATGGCAGAATTCACAATTCTAGCTCCGCTGAAGTTCTTGATGTCAAACCTGAAAACCATTGTTAACATTCAGCTCTCAAATGAGAACTATGCTATATGGAGTCTTCAGATTCACAAACTTTTTGCAGCAAATGGATTTGAAGGGTACTTATCGGGACAACAAGCGTGTCCGAGTTGTTCTGTGACCGATCCCGAATACAAGCTATGGCGCCTTGTAGATCAAAACTTGGTTTCAGCTTTATTCTCAACAATATCTCCATCTGTACTTTCCTATGTTCTTCACTTGTCCACTGCACACGAGATCTGGGCAATGCTGGCCACCAGGCTTCAGCCGACCAACAGGTCACGTGTTATACAACTCAAAAATGAGTTGCATAACATACAGATGAAAGATTCTTCAATGACGCAGTACTTGGCTCAAGTTAAAACCCTTGTGGATAATATTGCTGCTGCAGGATCTCACGTAGACACTGAAGACATCATAATGTACATTCTCAATGGTTTGCCGGCTTCGTATAACTCTTTCAAGAGCTCTGTACGAACTTCTCAGCTACCTATCAGCTTGGAGACTTTATACTCTCTTTTGTGCAGTGAAGAAATAAATATACAAAATGAACTGAGAAAGGATACTCCACCAGCAACCGACAACTTAGCTTTTTACTCCAGTCGAGGGAGAAATAACAGGGGTCGAATGAATACCAGAGGCCGCGGAATGACCTCTCGGCAACAATCCAATGCTGGACGTTCTCAAGCTACGACTCCAAACATTCGTCCCGTCTGTCAGATATGTGCCAAGAATGGACACACTGCTGTGACCTGCTGGTATCGGTACTCATCATCCTCTTCAGAGCCCAGTCGTGCTCTGCTTTCTCAAAATCAAAGCTCGAATACTTCAGAATGGATACTTGATTCCGGTGCAACTAACCATCTCACAGCTGACTCACAAGTCATTCAACAGCCATCAGTTTATGCAGGTTCGGATAC